AGGGGCATCATAAAGCCTTGAGGGCAAAGCGTTTGTGAAGTCATTTAGGGGCAACTGTGGAGACTGTACTTCTCAGCTGGGAAGGGGGTGCTGAGGGAAGCAGCAGGGGAAGCTGGTGAACCCAGGAAGTGGATCTGGCTTGGACGTGAAAGGCCTGGGCCTCTCCCTGGGGCCCACGTGACCACAGCCATGATCAGTCTTCTTTACTTCTCAGTCAGGGTCTGCCCAGAACCAGGGCCACCTCTCATCCACTCCTGCAGCCCCTTCGGTCCCAAGCACCCCTGTGGACTTTGAGGGGCTCCCTGATTGGCTGACTCCGTCAGTGCGGGTAGAGTGCTAATCACCCCCCAGGGCTGTGGCTGGGAGCCAGTCCCTGGGGAGCCAGGACTGTCACCGTGACCTGATAGGCTTCTACCAGGATGCTGGCCTCCCCACCCCGTGACAAGTCGAGACAGGCCTCACAGGGCAGAATGAGAGCCCTCCCTGAGCTTGAGAATGTGCTTCCGGGGCCACGGGACTGGAGGGCAGGGGCCCACACTCTGGGCTGGAGAGGCTGGGGGGAGATGGGTGCCCTGTCCTCAGCTCAAATCCTGCCTCTGCTGCTTCTCAGCTATGTTGCCTTAGGCAGGTCACTTCATCTCCCTGTAGCACAGCTTCTGCAGGTATATTATGAGGATAATTGTCACCCACCTTGTGGGACAATCAGGCTGACTAAGTGAGGTTGTGAATGTGAGGAACCCAGCGTGAGCTGGGGCTCAGCAATGCTCAGTGCTTCCTGGAGGTGAACCCGACGGGTGGAGTGGACCGAGCTGGGCTGTGCAGCCGGAAGTGCATGTGCATGTGGGGGACTGGCCTGGGACAACCAAGAGAGCCCCCTGTCCCAGTACAGGTCTGCACCGGGGTGTCCACTGCCCCCCTCCCCAGCCCTCATTCAGCCGGACGCATTCCCTCCTCTACCCGTCCCCATTTCCTGTCCAATCTCCTGTCCACCTGGCTGCCTGTGGACTCTGGCCAGGACTATTGACTCTTCTCGTAATGAGGACATCAGTCCAGAGCCTCACAGTTCATGAAGCTTAGCAGACTGTAGTGGACGGAAGTCTCCCGAGCTGCGGGTTAGTAGGCCAGTCGTGCAGAGGCAGAAGCCCTGGTGAAGTGACCTGCTCAGGCTCTCACTGCCAGGAAGCAGCAGATCCAGAAGCAGACCCCAAGCTGTGGTTCCTCACTCCCAGCCCTGTGCTCCTGCCACTGCGCCTGGAATGGAGCTCTCCCAGCCAGGCCGGACTCACAGGAAGGAGCTCAGAGGACCAGGAGGAAAAGATGTGGCAACCACACAGGAGCACAGCCCCTCACAGACAGACACACCTCGGAACATGGCTTTTCGTTCATTCTTTCCCCCATTCATTCATTCATTCATTGGCTCACTCCTTGGTTTTTTTTGGCTGTGCTGCATGGCATGCAGGATCTTAGCATCTTAGTTCCCCGACCAGGGACCGAACCCGTGCCCCCTGCAGTGGAAGCGCGGAATCCTACTGGACTGCCAGGGAATTCCCCCCTTGTTCTTTGTGTCCTGCACTCTGCCAGGCCTGTTATGCCAGGGTATGCGTGCCCTGTGTGTGTGCCCACAGGACCCAGTAGTCACCCAGGGCCCTAAGAGCCCCCGTGGCCTCTCCTTTCTGGTCCAGAATAAAGAGGTGTTGGGGGGAGGATGTTCAATCACCCACTGCCCCCGACTCTGGTTTTGCTCCCCCACCTCCGCCCCCCACCCTCCCCCATCCCCAGCCCCTGTCCCTGAACTCACTGCTTGAGTTCCTCCACCAGACTAGCAAAGGCAAGTTTGCATCCTGGCTGCCCCCCAGCCGAGCTTTGTGACCTCAGGCTAGTCACTGGACAAGGTTGGCCAGTTTTCTCATCTCTGAGATGGGGCTCATACGCCTTTCTTCCTTTTTCATCGTGGAAGCAAACGAAAAGCACTAGCACAGCCCTCACTGGCTCACCCTCTCCCACTTGAAGCCCAGGCTGCCACCACCCCACCCCTACCAAACGGGAAGACCTGTACCATCTAGACAGGGGCTGGGTCGCAGCTATTCTTTGCCTCTCAGTTTCCTCATCTGTAATTTAAGAATAAAAACACCTAATGGTATGTTGTGAGACTAAATTAGAAAATCAATGTGTCTGGTGTACAGATTCATTATAAACAACAAGAATGAACGGATAAATAAACAAACCTTGAGTCTGCTCTATCTTCTTCAAAACCAAACCAAACCAAACGCTGATGAGCAAACTCAGATGCTCTATTGCTCATAGCGTATCACTCGGGACTCCCATCGTGGGCCCCATCTCTGTGTCTTTGAGGTCCCACAGCCTGGACGCATTTGCAGAGGCAGGCCGCCCAGAGGAGGTTGGCCTAGGGTGGCCCCAGAAAGAGGCAGGAGGCTGAGTCTGAAGTCAGGATGAGGCCCTACGGGTCTTTCTCTGACTCAGGACGATCTAGCAGCAGTCCAGGGCCTGCACTATGCGCAGGACCCAGGCGGCTACTGTCCGAGGGGCCTCAAGTCTTTAGCTTTCAGCAGAGGCTCCACACAGGGCTGCTGCCAGCCCACCTGGACTGGGAAAAGGCACCACTCGGGGCAGACAGAGCCCTGTGCCAGGGCGCCTGACGGGGGAGCAGAGCATGTGCTGGATTTCAGGGGCTGGACACCCTTGTGCATTGCCCAGCCTGCAACTGGCAGGGACCCAGTGACCCTCCAGTAACTCTGAGGCTGGCGGAGTGGCTTCTGTTTCTCCAGGCAGACTTCCCACCCAGCAGCTTGCCCTGCGCCCATGGCCTCCAGCCCACTCCTCCCCATGCTGGACCCCCACCCCCTCTCCAGCCCTTAGCCCCTCAGCACTGACCGGCGCAAAGCAGCGTTGGTGTTAGGTTTTGACCAAAGGTCGGGACGATGCAGAGGAGCAACGTCACAGCTAAGCAGGTCAGACAATGAAACGGTGGCCATCTTGTCTTCAAACCCATCAGCTGCTCCCGACTCAGGTCACAGCTTGCTGACATCTTCCAGGGATTCCCCCCTAACCCCCATCTGAAATGCTTGTTCTCCCATCCTCATTCCTAGCAATTTAGCACCCCACCCCAGCAAACCAGCTATGTCTCCCCATTTCTGAGCCCGCCCAGGCAGCTTGCTAAACTAAGGGCACCTATCAGCCCAGGCCTCACAACCTTCCGCTGCAGTGTCTCTTTTAACAAGCTACACCCGTTCTCAGACAGGGCTTTCTTGCCCACCCACATAGAGAAATGGACAAAGAATGATAGGAAGATTTATTCCTCGGGCATTGTTTTTCTTCTTCCCCATGAGTTTGGTCACTTTTCTACCTCATCATTTTTAATCTGTGAAAGCCAATCTCAGACAGGTTTTAGATGGTGAGCACGTGTTACAGGTTTATCATAAACTGGTTAGCAAAGGAACCAGTCAAGGAAAACAAAACACAATAGATTCCTCCAGTATCCTGGGAGAAGCTGTGTAATAAAGTGACTTGCAGAACAAACACTAAAGCCAGACTACCTGGTTTCAATCCAATTTCGTCCCTTTCTAGCTGTGTGACCTTGAGCAAGGTGATTTAACATCTCTGTGCCTCCATTTCCGCACCCGTGAACAATGGATAATAATAGCACTTACATCAGAGCAAACGTTGTTGTTGTGCCTGAAATCTAATTGAATTCAAATTACGTGAATTAATTTGTGTAAGCTACTAGCGCAGTGCCTGGCACACAATAAGCATGAGACACTGTTAGCTATTGTTATTATGAGCAAGTTTATATAGGAGAAGATAAAGGAATGTTAGATAAGGTTGTTTAACTATGTACAGGTCTGGTTAGCCTTACCGGGCCCGTAAAGCTGTCACATTCGTATCAGCTGTGTGGGTTAAACCTGGGTCATATCAACTAGGACAGCCCTCAAATTACCAGGTGTGGACTGTTAATCAGAAATACCAGCTGCAGAAGTTGCGTGGGGTTTTGTGTGTGTGTGTGTATGTGTGTGAGTCTGGGATATCTTTCTTTCCCAGACTTCAGCCTGCAGCCCTGTGATTATCAGGAACATCTTTTAATCAAGCAGAGCCTGGGGAATGGGAGGTGGCAGAGGAGAGAGCTGGGGAGCCTGTTCCATCACTGCCAGGTGGTGCTGGCAGGGCTTGTAGAGGGCTTTGCTGCCACTAAGAGATGGCCAGGAGGTGCTGCTGTGCAGTGAAGCCTGGGACTGGGCAGCTGAAAGGCTCCTCTGTGGTCCTGGCTATGGGAACAGCTCTCAAGGGCCAGCCATGGTTTCTGGCCACTGGCCACACTGTCTTCTGAACCCTTGGCCTGTGTGGAGCTCCTTCCCTGAGTTCCCAGAGGCCTGTCAGGCTCCAGAATCCTCTGCCCAGCGTTCTGCTGGCCTGAGTGTCCTGTGGAGGAGGGGAGGCAGGACTGCAGGAGGACCCAGCCAGGCTGAGCTGGGAGCCAAGAGGTGCTTGGCAACTTGTCGAGAACTGGCACAGTGCCTCCGTGGCAGCCCCCTACTCCACCCAACCCGCCTGAGCCGCTCAGGACCTGACACAGCATTCAGTTAATGAAGCCGTGTTGATGTTGCCTGGTAAAAGTAAACCCAAGACACAAGGTCACCTGACATTTAGTAGTTCTATCCAATAGAAATATAATACCAGCCATATGTTTTTTAAAAATTTTCCAGTGGACATGAAAAAAAGAAGAAAACAGGTGAAATTAAATTTTAATATATTTAATTTAACCCAGTTTATCCAAAATATTGTTTCATATGTAATCAGTATATGAAGTTCTTAATGACATATTTTACGTTCTTTTACTTCAAGCTAAATCTTTAAAGTACCCACAGGATTTCACAGTTCTTGCACATATTCATGCCAACTAGCCACTGCACGGGAGGGAAAAAATCTTCCTCTACCCGCCCAGGTTCAGCTGCAGAGGCCAGAGAATTAAACGGACAAAGGACAGATTAACAGGAGAAAAAAGTGTATTTCATATGCACACAGGAGCCAACAAAGGAAGTAACTGGCTCATTAAATGATTAAAGTTAAAGGTTTACAAACCTAACTTACGGAAAATGGGGGGAAATAATAGCTTCTATGGGGGAAAAAAATAGATTTCTTTAGGAATGATAAATGGGTTTTTAGGAGAACCAACATAAGAAAGTTTGTGATAATATTTGTCTATACAAGTGTGAAAGGTCTCTCGTCTTCTTCAGGGCCGTGAAACTCCCCTGGAGAGGGGATTTATGGTAGCTTCGTTTTCCCAGAAGTTGCTGCTTTTCGTCAGATAAGAGAAGCTCCCAGGAGGCTTTTTTCTGCATCTGCTGAATCTCAAATATCTTCAGCTTAAAATGACCTTCATGACAACTCTGGGGTTCCAAGTGAGTCCCCAAACTACACTACAAGTGTTCAACGGGCACAAGTGTCTAGTGGTTACCTTATTGGACAGCGCAGGTGCAGAATCACCAAATCGCTGGGTGCCGGGACCGGGCAGCTCCTAGAGATCGGGCAAGCATCCCTTCTGCTGCCTCCGTGACCTGTTCTGGCCCACGCTCTGCTTGAGTGTCCCAGGGGCGGGGGCCCACAGCCTCCTCAGGCAGCCTGTTGCTCGGATCAGGCTCCGAGGTGCAAGCTGTCGATATTGAGCGGCAATCTCCCCCACTGGTTGTGCAACCCAATACCTTTTCCAAAGCGCTGGCACAAACCCGCTGTGAGGGTGGCGGGCAGGTCTTCCTGTTACCCAGAGGGTCGGTGTCCCGCAGCAAGTCGGGAGAGGGAGACGCTAGGATACTACAGAGTCATCCTTGCTCTGCGCGGCTGAGTGGTCCCCCAGACCCCTTGGAGGGGAGGGTCTGCGTTCTGGGACACCTGGCTTTGCGAGCACCCACTACACCGCTAAAGGAGAAAGCCCGGCTCCAAGCCACAGCCAGCTCGGTCGGGAGCGGCCCCTCGCCCTGGGCTCAGGGCGCACCTCTTCTTCCCCCATCTGGGAGGCACAGAACCCTAACGCAGCCCCCTGGTTTCACAGGTGGGGAAACTGGGGAGCAGTTCTTGTGCTGCCACGGCGTAGTTCCTTCCCTCTAGCTGAACCGGTGTCAACGAAGTCCCAGGGGCCTCCGGAGAAAACCTGGAGGCCTTCCTGGCCTGGGGGGGCCCGGGGAGGGAGGCTCCTCGCCGGCCCACTGCTCCTCGGACACAGGCGGCGGGCAAGCGAGGGCCGCGGGGACCTGGCGGCCGGGGCGGGAAGCTCCCGGGAACCGTGATGTAACTCGGCGCCCGGCTTGTAGGCGCAGCCCCAGGCGTCGCCTAGGCTTGTTTACCCGAGTCCGGAGTTTACCGGGGGTGGAGCCATAGCTGCCTCGGCCCCGCCCCCGGCGTGCCCCGCCCCGCGGAGCCCCCATACCCCTTGCTGGGCGAGCGAGGCTCCCTCCTCCTTGGGATTCCGAGGGTCCGGAGCCTCGGAACTGAGATACAGGTCTTTGGTCTTCTTTCTGTCTTAGACGTTTGAAGACCCGACGCAGTGGCGGTGCCAAAGGGGTGACTCTGAAAGGGCCTGAGCCCCCAAAGCAACTCAGAATAGCATTAAAACTAAGTAAAAAGCGGGAGCTTGCTCTGCCCACAACTTCAACAACTTCAAGAAGACGGCCCGTCTACCTGAACGTACTAGCGTCTCCCCTACAGTGGTAGCAAGTCCCCGCATCTCTCTAGGTGTCAAGTCTCCTCATCTCTACGATGGGGAGCAGGCTTCTTCCATACGATGCATCGCCATGACAGTCTGATTCTAGGCATTGTGGCGAGCGCTTCTTTGGGCCTTCCAAAAGTCGGCCTCCGGGGGGAAAAAAACCTCCAGTATTTCTCGGGCGCCCTTCCTAATTTTGCTGCCATGGAGATAGAGTTTGCTCTTGATTGGGAAAAGTTGCTAACACCCTGGAGGACTGAAGGGCAGAACTGCCTAGGGGCTGGGACTCAAGGTGGCCTCCAACCTCTCTAGCTGCAGCCCCTCCCAGCCCCATTCCCAGGCCTGGCTCGCTAGGGCCAGTGGAGTGCCTGTGTGCCCAGCACCCAGCCCAGCTGAGCTCTCAGGCCAGACTCAGGCCTCCCACCCCCAGAGGAGAGGCAGAAGTCGAGACAGTGTGTGGCTGGATGACAGTGGGTCTGGATGGAGCCCAAGGTTGGGGTACTGCTGATGCCAACAAGAACTCCAGCAGCTGTGACCTGTGCTCACTGCCAAGGTTTTCCCACCCATACTCTCAGTTCCCTGGTGAGGCAGGCAAGCTGAGTCCAGATAAGGCAGCTGAGGCTCAGAGAGAACAGGGTAGCCCCACAACACCCAGTGAGCTGGTGCCAGAACTGCAACTAGGCCTCAAACCCCTGTTTTACTCCCATTCCTGAGAAGGACCCAGACCCCTCATGCTCCCACTCCTGAGAGGGCATGAGCCCTGTGAACAGGAGCAGTCCAGGAGGGCTTCCTGGACTGGAGGCTGGGTCCGAGCTAGGTAAGGCAGGAGGGTCAAGATTTGAGGAGGGTGTGAGATAGGAAGTGCTCCCTGAGCTGGGAAGTAAGAAGAGAGGGGAGGTTCCCCTGGGGAGAGAGCAGCCCTCGGGAGCTGTAAGAAGCGAGGGTATGGGAGGTCTGGCCAGAGAGGAGGGTCTGGGGGTCAGTCGGGGACTAGCAAGTAATAGTCCAGGCCAGTGAAGTTCAAGGGCAGTTCTTGAGTAGGGCTGGGCAGCAGACCAGATGCAGGATCGAGAATGTCGGTGTTGGGGGTAAGCTTTACCATCCTGCCTCCACTTCAGGCTCTCCCATTTCCCAGCCCTTGGGCGTGTTCTCTTCCCTCTGTGGGCCTCAGTTTCCTCATCTATAAAATGGGGGTCACCTCCCTATTCAGCTCACGGCTGAGAAGGTGCTTTGTGATTGGACTTTACATACTTGAGGGTGTGAGAGACTTGTATACAAAAGTGACAAAGCAAATGGGGTCAGGGAGGACTCTCTGAGGGGCTTCTCCTTCTCCTGGATTCCCTGGCTCCACAGGAAGAGGCTCCATACACTTGCTTCCCTGAACCCTGCCAGCATGTCTGGGAGGCCCCTGGGCTTAGCAAATATTTGTGCCTCTGATCTAGTCGGTGGCTGCCAGAACATTCTGTCCTGCCGCCCATTCGTCTAGGCCTCTGCCTCAGGCCATGAGGATCCTGAAAGAGGACAAAAGTGTAGGGTTGGGACTTCTGGGTCCTTCCCCCTCACCCCTCCTGCCTTATCCTCCTGAGCCCCTCATCCCAGTTTAGTCTTGAAGTTCATAACCCTGTGCTAGGCACTGTGCAAGGGACAGGGGACAGGTGGCTCTAAAGAGCCTCTCCTAAGATCTAGGACCACAGGCCCAAATTTGAACTCAGTAGCTGTTCTGCTGTGTGGTCTTGGGTGAGTCCATTACCTCTCTGAGCTTGTTTCTTCATACCTGAAATGGTGGTGAAATGGTTTGGGTCAGTGCCTGGACACTTAGTAAGTTGTTTTCTTCCCTAGCCTTCCTTCCCTGGCTCTGTATTGTCCCCCTAGAAGTTTGGGCCTGCCCAGTTTAGCCAATAATAATAACAAGAGTAAGACGTTTCCAACATGATTGAGTGCTGTGTGCAGTGGTGTGCTGGTAAATGTTTAACAACCAGCTCTAAGAAAAAAGGTCCTGGTTTGCAGCATTTGCCTGATTTCTGTCTTGTTAATATTATCACCAGGCCGCTTTCAAGCTTCCAACATGACATCACTGAACACGGAGCTGGGAGCCGGTGAGAGCTGGCTCCAGCACAACACTGCATACAGGATTAGCTACGTTATTCGCCAGGCTCAGTGCAAAATGAAAAAAATCACAGGGTCCCTTGTTCGAAAAGCAGGGAACAAGCTAACGCTTTTTCCCTTCTTTCTGCGATTTCTCTCTCAACCCATCCTAATGCTCTTTTTTTTAATTTAATGTCACACTCCTTCCAGCATGGGGATACTCACAGGACAAGTGCAGACCCTCACAGGTGGGCGGTGGGGTAGGCAAGTCCCAAGACGTGGCACACACGTATTGGATCCACCGACTACCAGGTTGTCCCTCATATCAGCCACCCGGCACGTGCTCCAGGAAGTCCAGTCAGGCATGTTGCCTTCCCACAGGCCCCACCCATGTCCCAACCTTCAAGCCAGGCTATGCGAGGCACCCATATGGGAATGGGAAAGAGGCTCGTCCTGGCCAAGCCACCCCACGGAATGCACCATATTGCTGCCTGACCAGAGAAAGGTGGCCAGTGGTTGCAGGGTAGAGAGGAGGAGAAGGCCAGGTGAGGCCAGGTGTACCAGAGGATAAGAACGCGTTCTAAAGAGGCAGGAAGGTAGCAGGAGTTAGGACAGTGCTGTGAAGCAGGAAGCCCCAAGCCCCTGGCACTGGCTCCATTACCCCCCTGGACTTCCCTTACGAGACACAAATTCAAAGATAAAATTATGAAAAATTTCAAGATGCCGATCAATCTCAGTGCATTTAACCAAGCTAGATGTCCTGAGTGCAGGGCCCTGTGGGCTGTCCTGGTCTCAGACCCATGAAGCCAGCTCTGACTGTACGTGTCATCCAAGTGAGAGAGGAATGGCCCTACAGGGTCCTCCCTCAGGAACTTCAGTCCTCAAGTCAAGAGATACCTGGGGATCCTGGGCCAAAGAGAGGCCAGGGGGACTCGCAAACCCTCCCTCTTCAGAGAGCAATCTCTACCACCTTGGGGGAAGCTTCACAGGGCATTGCAACTGGGCAAAAACTTGTTCAACAACAGCAAAAATACAGCCTGTTATGGAATATTTACCATCAGTGATCTGCATGTCTCTTATATTTGCATTGTGCCACTTTCCTCTTTTTGTAAAGACTTTATAAAAATGTGTCTTTTGCTTCTAAGCAAGTGAAAGATAACATTTTCAAACATCCAATTCACCGCCCATCTGAACAACATATATTTGGTTGCATTCATTGATCTGTGGAGCACCCACAACTGTAAAAGTTTTCTCTATACTGACATTTGACCTGGGGATTGAAGCCAAATATTGACTCAGTTTTAGCAAATTTAGAGCAGCAGCTTCTTGGCTTAAAAAAATATTTCCACTTATCAAGAATGGTTGCTTGTTCCTTTAAGGAGAATGACCATGGGGTCCCAGGCCTCTACTTCCTGATGATGAGAATTTGGAAGGGGCACTTTTCACACCACACCAGCCTCAGACGAGGGTGTTATGGTTTAATTTCTCAGGAGTGGCCATATGCCCCAGGGGGCGGCTGCTGGAGGGCACATCTCACCAGGGAGGAGGGCCGCACAGTGAGGGCAAAGGATGAGAGGACCCCACAGCTCTGTCCAGGTGATGCCCCATCATGGGGGCCCAGGCTCAGCCCATGAGCTCTCGGGCTACGCTGCACTGAGGAGGGGCAAGGGGGCCTCACTGTTCCAGGTGAGCCCTCACATGCACGCACAAATACAGGCAGGAAGCCACCCAGATACCTTAGCCTGGAGTGCATTGTGGTGCATTGGCTATAAACTATAGCATATTGAGAAAACCTGACGATTAAGGAACAATGGGCATCACTCCTAGCACGTTCTTCGATTGACCTCCTCATAGAAATTCAAACCATAGTGTTTTGAGTCTAACCCAGGGCCCTCTTAACACACTGGTGTTCTTGGGCAAGGTCCAGAACACATCTGAGCCCCTGTTTCTCCATCTGTAAAATGGAAAAGTGATGCATGTCTTCAAGGTTGTGGTCAGAATTAAACAAGATGCATGTGTGTGTGTGTGTGTGTGTGTGCGTGTGTGTGTGTGTGTGTTTATGTTTATATGCCAGACACAAAGCTGGTGCTACAATAAAAGATGGCAATACGGGTGGCTATTATTATTATTACTATTGGCAATCAAATAGTAAAGACAGGGTCTGATTCACTTCTGGGTCCCTGGTACACCATAGGTGGTACTGGGGAATGTGGGCCTTGGCTGGGCTACGACTTGAGAATGGCTCACGGGGGTGTGGTCACAGGCAGCAGAAGATGGAGGTGTGAGTGAGCTGTGCTGGGCCACCAGCGGCCTTTCCCCCCTAAGAAACAGTCAGAACTGGAGTAAGGAGGCCTATAGGGGAAAGGTCATCCTCAGCAAGCGCTCTCATTTCACACATGGAGAAACTGTGTCAATCTGCCATGAATGTATTACACTAATTCCACTGGCTTCAAAGTAACTTTGGAATCCAAACAGAATAGCATCTGGGGGTACAAATCTTGGGTGCTTGCTCAGATTCCCCTAACAATCTGCTTTATTCCACCTTTCCCAGCCTTACTTCTCTTTTCTTCACCCTTGCTACCCTGGGCTTGCACCTCCCAAATAAAGTGTTAGCATCTTAATCCTTGCATCAAGCTCTGTTTTTCAGAGGACCCAGGATAAGATGGGCAGCATTTCCAAATTATTTGTATTTATTAGAGGATTATTCAACATAAAAGATCCCCATATAGAATTATTCCATCTATTCAGATAAAAGTCTCTATGAATACGTACACCACACATACACATTTCTTTGAGCAAGAGTAGAAAGACCACAGTACCTTAAGCTCCGGGTGGATGCCTGTGGTGATGCACTTGCTGGTACAGATGCTCTCTCACCAACAGTGGTGGCTGCCTACAATGTTATTCTGCATCAGATCTCATTTGAAGCTCTTCACAGCAATACGCAGAGCCTCCTGCCAGAGATTTGCCTTTTATTTTAAACTTATTTTGCATATTTCTGATAAATAGAGCAAGGGGATAAGAAAGCTCTGGGTCCTTATACTCTGCAGTTGGGAACTCTCTTTTTGTAACTGGTTCCTATGGAGTTTTTTCCACACCACCACCAAATTCTCGAATGCCAACCGGGTGCCCAACAATTTAATGCAATTCTGACACTATCTACCTGGAGTTAGTGTCAGATCCTACAAGTTGAAGGGCTTAGTCCCATAAGATTAACCTACGTGAGATGCCAGTTGCAAATGGGGTGCCTGGGGGTACCCATACTTCTGCTGGGCTGACTACAAATTCAGGAGTTCCCACAACTCCTCTCTCCCAAGTTCAATAATTTGCTAGAATGACTCATAGAACTAAGGTTTATTTTAAAGGAGCAAATAAACCAAATGGAAGAGATGTATAGAGCAAGGTATGGGGCGGGGTGGGGCGGGGGGTGGGGGTGGGGGTGAGATGAGAGCTTCCATGCCCTGTCCAGGGTTGTCACCCTGCCACACCTTGATGTATTTACCAACTTGGAAGTCCTCTGAACCTCACTGGGTAAGAGTTTTTATAATCCAATCACCAGGGCCCCTTCCCCTTCCTGGAGGTCGAATGAGGTGGGTGGAGTGGAAAATTCCCATTTCCTAATCACATATTTGATCTTTCTGGTGACCAGTCACCATCCTGAAATTATCTAGAGGCCCCACACTGAGTCACCGCATTAACCCGAATTCAGGTAAAGTCAAAGTAGCTTGTTATGAATAATAAAAGACATTCCTATCACTCAGGAAATACAAGGGTTTTAGGAGCTCTATGCCAGGAATAAATAAATATATAGATATATTTAAATTTATATGTACATTTATATAAAAATATATTTAAATAATAAATATATATAATTTAGAGATATATTACATGTATATTATATATAGAATATTATTTCACATATAAAATATATTCTGTAATATTATATGTTATAGTATAAATATCATATATAATACATAGTATTTTTATCATACCACAGTTCCCCTCAGGGCACTGCCATTCATTTGTTTGCTGGATTGGCTACATGCAAATTAACTAAACTTTTAGGTGTGGCTCTTGACAGGTTTAGCGAATATATGCTGGTTCTGCAACCCCTTCACATTTGGCTGTAGGTCTGATAGATATGCAGATTGGGCAGCCCTCATATGTTGATGCTAATAAGATGTTGTGATCACCATATCACTGGAACTTGGGAGTCATAATTCATGAACTCTTATAGTCCACATTTCGAGTATACTCTATACAGTTTACACCCTCTCCTTGGATCCTCTAGACTGAGGATCAGGTAGATGAGAGATGAAGGCACTGAGACTCAGAGAAAGCAAGCAACTGGCCCAAAGGTCCACAACAAGGCTGTGGCAGAGATGGGTGGAACACAGCCCAGAAGCCCTCCCTCTGCTGCCAGTGGCTTTTTTCTGTCGCATGACATTCCCTCTGCTAACCATGTAGACCAGCTCACACTCGAGCTGGTCTCCTTCTTGACAGCCCATGTCTTGTGATTGAGAACTGTCAGAGCTAGGAGAGACCTTACCAATCTGCTATGAAGACAGGGAAACAGGCCAGTGGAGGCGGAGCCAGAAGTGGGACTCCCAGCGCCTGTGGCTTAACCCCCGCTCATAGGCTTGAGCTCCGGGAGTATGACTAGGTTCAAATCCCAACTTCACCACTTATTCTCTGGGCCTTAGGCAGATTAACCTCAATTTTTGCATTTATAAAGTGGGACTAACAGCAGAACTCACCTCAAAAGGTTACTGGGGGGCTTCCCTGGTGGTGCAGTGGTTGGAAGTCCGCCTGCCGATGCAGGGGACGCGGATCCGTGCGCGGTCCGGGAACACCCCACGTGCCGCGGAGCGTCTGGGCCCGTGGCCCATGGCCGCTGGGCCTGCGCATCTGGAGTCTGTGCTCCGCAGCGGGAGGGGCCGCAGCGGTGAGAGGCCCGCGCACCGCAAAAAAAAAAAAAGAAAGGTTACTGGGAGTGGGCTTCCCTGGTGGCACAGTGGTTGAGAGTCCACCTGCCGATGCAGGGTATGCGGGTTCGTGCCCCGGTCCGGGAAGATACAATTTGCCGCAGAACGGCTAGGCCCGTGAGCCATGGCCGCCGAGCCTGCGCGTCCGGAGCCTGTGCTCCGCAACGGGAGAGGCCACAACAGTGAGAGGCCCGCGTACCGCAAAAAAGAAAAAAATAAAAAAAAGGTTACTGGGAGGAGGGTTAAATTAGATAACACATATAAAGCTTTATAATAGGGCTGGCACACGGTACACACTCAATATATTTTTATTTTTAGTACTATTTTTATTATAATCACGGTGGGGAGGACAAACTTTTCCTCTGCCCACTTAGATTAAGTGACTGGGCACCTGTGAGTTAAACTAACAAAAGACAGGTTAACATAAGAAAAGGTAAAAGTTCATTTACATACATACAAAGGAGCTCACAGAAAATGTGGCTCAAAGAAGCAGTTAGAATTTGGGGCTTATATACCATCTTATTTTGTTTCCCGACTTTATTGAGATATAATTGACATAACACTGTATAAGTTTAAGGTGTACAATGTGTTGATTTGATACACATACATTGAAAATGATTACCATGCAGCGTTAGCTAACACCTCCATTACGTCACACAACTACCATTTCTTTTTTTGTGGTGAGAACATTTAAGATCTACTCTCCTAGCAACTTTTCAGTATGTAACACAGCATTATTAACTATAATCATCATGCTCTACAGTAGACTCCCCATAACTTATTCATCTTATACAGGGAAGTTTGTACGCTTTGACCATCATCTGCCCATTTCCTCCACCCTCCCAGGCCCTGGCAACCACCACTCCACTCTGTTTCTATGAGTGCAACTTTTTTTTTTTTTGCGGTACGCGGGCCTCTCACCGCTGTGGCCTCTCCCGTTGCGGAGCACAGGCTCCGGATGCGCAGGCTCAGCGGCCATGGCTCACGGGCCCAGCCACTCCGCGGCATGTGGGATCTTCCTGGACCGGGGCACGAACCCGCGTCCCCTGCATCGGCAGGCGGACTCTCAACCGCTGTGCCACCAGGGAAGCCCGAGTGCAACTTTTTTAGATTCCACGCATAAGCGATATTGTACAGTATTTTTCTTTCACCATCTCTTCCACTTAAGCATAATGTCCTCGAGGTCCGTCCTTGCTGTCACAAATGGCAGGATTTTCTTCTGTCTCGTAGCTGAATTATATTCCATGGTGTGTATACACATATACCACATCTTCTTCATTCATCTGTTGATAGACACTTAGGTTATTTCCATGTCTTGGCTATTGTGACTAACACTGCAGTGAACATGGGGCTGCAGCTATCTCTTCAAAATCTCACTTTCATTTCCTTTGGATATATGCCAAGAAGTGGAATTGCTGGATCTTATGGTAGTTTTGTTTATAATTTTGTGTGGAACCTCTAGACGGTTTCCCACCAATTTACATTCCCAAGAACAGTGTACAGGGGCTCCCTTTCCTCCACATCCTCACCAACACTTGTTATTTCTTGTCTTTTTTTTTTTTTTTTTTTTTGCGGTACGCGGGCCTCTCACTGTTGCGGCCTCTCCCGTTGCGCAGCACAGGCTCCGGACGCACAGGCTCAGCGGCCATGGCTCACGGGCCCAGCCACTCCGCGGCATGTGGGATCTTCCCGGACCGGGGCACGAACCCGTGTCCCCTGCATCGGCAGGCGGACTCTCAACCACTGCGCCACCAGGGAAGCCCTATTTCTTGTCTTTTTGATGACAGCCCTTCTAACAACTGTGAGGTGATATCTCATTGTGATTTGGATTTGCATTTCCCTGAAGATCAGTGATGTCCAAGCACCTTCTCATGTACCTTTTGGCCATTTGTATGTCTTTTCTGGGAAAATGTCTATTCAGTTCTTCTGACCATTTTTAAATTGGACTGTTTGGTATTTTCCGTTTGCTTTGGGTTGTATGAGTTCTTTGTATATTTTGGATATTAACCCCTTATCAGATATTATATACCACCTTAATAGGGAAAGAGGAGAAAGGGCACTTATGGGAAAACAAACAGCTTTTAGGAAAGATAAGTGGGTCCTTAGGAGAATAGCTGGGAGATGTGAGAGGTGTTGTGATAAGGTCTGTTTAGGTGAATTCTTATCCGGGTCTCAGGTGACCGGAGTCCGTCTTCTCTGGTTGTGAAACTCCCAGGAGGGAATTTATGACATGTGAATTCTTTTGGGAGGCTCTGCTTTTAGGCAGATAAGGGGAAGTTCAGAGAAAGGCCTCCTCCTGCATCTGTTGATTCTCAAATATCTTCAGCTCAAAATAATCCTTAGGACACAGTGGTAGATTTTGTACCCCTCCACTCATTACAGGAGAGAGGGTGGGGAGGATGGGAGATGCAGGCCTAGGTTGGAGGGCACCTGTCGGTTTTCAGGACACCTTCCAGACTCTTGTCCCTGGCTGAGGACTGGGGCACTGGTGGCCTCTGCTCCTTATCAGAGCTTGCTCAGGGCTAAGCTGGAGCCATTCCATCCTCCGCCCCTCCCACCTGGGGCAATGGGGTGGCTGCAGGCTACACTAGGGAACTTCATCCACAGGTGAATAAAGCTGGGGTGGGGGAGGGGGCACTACTGCTGGGCTGCAAAAGTCCCCAGGCCATCCCTCTACGAGGGATGTGGCTACTTGACAGGTTTAGCGAATATATGCTGGTTCTGCAACCCCTTCACATTTGGCTGTAGGTCGGATAGATATGCAGATTAGGCAGCCTGCCCCATGACGTCAAGGTCCCCCAGGGTAGAGAACTTGCCTGGTCCCCCCTCTGCAGAGCTGCACGAGCCAGCGGCGTACTGAGCACATTTGACTCGTGGTGGACCGTTCTTTAACACTTCCCTCCTTTGCATTTATCAAACAAAAATATTACACCTCCTACTTGGCTCTAATTTCACAAATAAAACCTCCAAGCTGTCACACAGCGTGGCAGAATGGAAACAGAACCCTCAAGTTTACAATCACTGTGCTGTCCTTGCTTATTAAGAATCCACTGTTTAAATGCAGGAATTTGTGCTGCAGGGACTGGAGATGGGGTGGCCCGGTGAGGAATGACAAATGAAACTGTGCTTGGAGCTTGGCTGGCCTGTGTGTAACAGGGAATTCTCTGAGTGAGCTTTCCTGTAGAACCCAACATTTATTCATGAATATGCAGTAAAAGTGGTAATGTGAAGCTTATTTATTATAAAAATTACAGTAATTGGAATAATTGTTTAGAACATCAACTAACAGAAGACTTTCAGAGGGGAGTATTTTGCCACTGACAGGGTTTAGGACTGCCAGCACATGGGAGAATAAAAGGCGGATAGACTTTATTCTGTTACTGTTTTAAAGTTCTCTGCATACATCCCCCTCCCCGCTTATTGCCTACACTTGGAGTATACAGCGTCCACCATCCTGACCTTTGCATATCAATAGCACAAGCTGTCTCCACCCTCACGGACCACCCTCAGGCTCATCGCCTCTCACCCTTGAGCCAGAAGTTGGCTGGCCACATTGCTGGGATGTTACACCTCAAGGCCAAGATGGCTTCCTACTTTCTCTGGCCTCCAAGACCTCCCCATCCCCTACTCCACCCCAACCCAGTCCTGGCTGGACAGCCTCCTAGACCTCAGTTCACTTGAAACAAGCTCTTAGACATAATTCAAGTGGGCAAACTGAGGCTGCAGGAGGGAAAGAACCTCTCCCGGCGTGAAGCTGAGGGTCCCAGCCCCCTTAGTGACTGCTCAGCCCCAGCTCGGCTTCCCTGCAACAGTCAGGCAGGAGGAAGGTGAAGGGTGGCCCTGGGATGGGCTGGGGCACCGCAGGGTTGATTTGCATCTCATCTGAATAGGCCCCTGCATCTCACACCCAGAGCAGCCCCACTTATAGAATCCCAGGGCTCAGGAAGATCCCTTCTGGCCCCCACCACCTCCCCTGTGCAGTGTCACTGAACCCCATTCCCTATCGGTGCCCATCCATGGGTGCCCAGACACAGCCTCGCCCTTCCTGTGCCTGGTTGTGAAGCAGTTCTCTCTGGGAGAGGTGAGCAGCACGGGAGGGGCAAGGTCTATTGGTTCAACCCCAGACGCCTCACCTGAGCAGCAAGCAGGTCTGGGCCTTGAGAAGGAAAACCCATCACTCACCTGGGTCCAAGAGGCACTAGAGGGAGGTAAGGCCCAGCCCTGAAGAGCCTGAGGGGACTGTGGTGCTTTGGTCTGATGCTGGGCAGAGATGACCTTTGGACGCCAGTCCTGCTTTCACCTGTCTGTGAGAATGAGTTGAGTCAGGTGACAGGAGCTGGGACAGAAACAGAGCTGGGGGAGGAAGCTAAGGGCCAACTACTGATGCCCACAGGAGAAGCCCATCCTGAGAATGGGATATTCAGGCAATGCCCAACCCTCCAGTCCCCAGCCTTTGCTCAGACAGCCTGGCTGGAAGATATCCTTCCTGGCCATGCTCCCAGAGAAGAATCTCATCCCATCACCTGGGGCCCCTCTGGGGGCCCTTCTGGAAGCCATCACAGCCCTGCTGATGCCCACTGTCTACTTGTACTCCTCCAGTGACAGAAAGCTTATTAGTTCCCCGAAATCGTGATCACGGCCCCTAGGGCCCTAGTGAAACTGCGCAGGTCCCTATGGGGCTCCTGGGCACAGGAAGCTTTTCAGACAGTTGCTAATCAGGGAAGGAAGGGGATGCAGAGACAAGGGAGGAGCAGCAAAGAAACAATAGTGTAGCCTTGAGGCAGGGTCCTGGTTCCACCTCAAGGGATACACATAACAACATCTTTGAGCTCTTTACAGAGCTAAAACCCCCAACAAATGGAAGATGTTAGCATTCTTCATTCCAGAAGAGCTCATCAAGGGACTACCTGAGGCCAGATTAAAGGAGTACAGGCCCTACACACACCCTAATCCTTATTAGCAATCCCTCCCTTGAGCCATTGCTATAAAACTCCTCACCAAATCCTCCCAGATTGGGACACACGGTTTTTGAGGGCACAGAGCCCGCTGTGTCCCCCTTTGCCTGGCAAAGCAATAAAGCTATTCTTTTCTACGTCACCCAAAACTCTATCTCCGAGATTCGATTCAGCACCGGTGCACAGAGGTCAAGTTTTCGGCATCACTAGCTCTGCTGGGGAAAGTTTCTTCTTTTTGAGCTGGAACTTCTCTCCCTGGAACTCACCCCATTGGCTGGCCTGGCCCCAGACACTGCTGTAGGGGCGGAAAACTTTTCCCTTTTTCCCTTCTAGGCTCTTTGGCTGGATTAATAATTAAATTGACATAGGACAGATTAATAGGAGAAAAACAAATTTCATACATGTGGGAGCCCCATAAAAATATGAGACTCCCAAGGGCAGTCAGGAGTAATTGAGGCTTACATACCATCCTGAGCTAAGGAGAAGGGGGTAGGGGTCGGGGATAAGTCTTCCTGATGTGAAAAGTTATCCTTCCTGGGTCAGGCCCCTCTAAATTCTTTTAGGCAGTTAGGGAGGAGGTAAAAACTCTTCCTGAGCCCTCCGGGACCCCACTGTCTTCAGTTCAAAATAATCCACATGCGAAATTGACACCTCCTGGGGTGGCATATTCTGTTTCCCCTCACTGTCAAACCTGCCAGTGGTGTGGGGTGTGCCCCACAGGTTCTGATTTACGATCAGTTCCCTCCAGCCTCCCCACGCCACCACTTCTAGTCCAGTCTCGAAGTCTGTTCTGTTTTGTATCACCTCATACTCTCTGGGGGGCATAAGTCACTAGAGGGTTGCAAGCCAAGGCTAGAGGCCTGCCTATCAGAGGTCTCATAAGTGTCAGGAACCTCCTGGGTTCCCCAGCCCTGGGGGAGGTGGGAGGAGAAATATGGGAGCGGGGAGTTTGGAATCACTTCACACTTGGGGAGGTGAGGCTCAGAACCATTAGTCAACTCCTTCTTGTCTTTGCTTTCACCTTTCCCAAAAGGAAGTGAGGAAATACCTCCTGAAAACAATGGCCTGCCTGCCACCTGCCAGGGTTGTGTTTGTCCAGTGAGCTCAGGCCTCTCAGACACGCAGGGAATGCAGAAGACCCAGCCTGGAATAATCCAGGAGCACCTCCACACACACACACACACACACACACACACACACACACACACAC